CCCCCCTCTGGATCCGCCACTGGAATACATTTGTGGTAGGTTTCTTTGATTTTGTTTAATTTGATACACCAATGTACTGCTTACCCGGTTTACGTTTGAGTAAATGTTCACATTCAAATGCAGTGATCTCTGACACCGTAGAGAAGACATCAGCACAGTGAGCAGCAGCCCTTTCGATACAATACCGATGATAGATGCCTCTCTCACCGGCTTCTTTGTCAACATCAAACTAAAAACAGAAATAAATAAATGGTTAACAATTCTCGGGCTGCAGATGTTGATGGTGCTTCTCAATACACCTTAGAAATAAATGACTGTCGAGATCTTGTTGAGAGCAAGCATGCCAATGACGTAATTGTTTTTGTTCCTCAAATAGTGTTCCATACTCTTGTATGTTCCACTTAATCTTTTAACCAATTTTTTCTGTTTTTTTTGTCATATTCTTCAATATATTTCTGGTAATGAACCCTTATTTTGGAGCCAATGGACAAAATTTGAGTAAATTTTAAGTTTTTACCTAAAAAATTTGGCCATTTTGTCCCAATCTTCTGAAAGGAAAGTGTAGACTATAAACTATAGACTATTTTGTCATGAAAAGAAGGAACTGGTTGTGAAAAGGGTTAACCACGGTATTCGAAACAGTGGATGCAATGACAGAGAAGACTGGAACCTTAATTCGAGTGACAAGAACGAGTTTTGCAGCTTATTCTCAACAAAATTTTAGCAGTCATTTTATTATATCTATTTTTGAACTGCAGACGACTTCATGCGGTTTGTCCTCTCAATTAACATAGGCTCATTTGTATTCATCATTCAAGTAATAACAGTGATTGGATAACAGTTTTTAATTATGTAAATCAAACAAAATCACACTGCAATTCTTGTGTAGTTATGGAAACAATATACAACTATAAATTTGTGAGAAAAAAAATCAGCAAAACATTACTAGTATTCAGTGTTTGGAAATTGTTATGCTCAATTTAAGTACATTTCATAACATACGAAGAAAGAGGACGTCGTTTTAGAATTATGCCATTCAGTAGAGATGTGAGTATGATGTCGAGAAGAATGTACTTAGACAAAGAACACGGATGCTATCATGGTTCATACAAACATATCGTAGTCTGGATACCTAGTACATAATACTTTATGCATAACAGTAAATCCTGTCATAGATGTAGATAATGGTGATGGTGACACACTACTAGGTAACACAGTCGCTTTTGTTGAGTACAAGTGCAGTTTGTTATAGCATGATGCACTATTTGCATTTGCAACCTGATGTTTGCACACATACTGTTCTAACAGAACGTTAACGCAGATGAAGTTCTAAACAACTGCCGTAGTATATTACTGATTTTCCATAAAAGAACATTTAGGCCAAACTATATAAATATATGTTATAATTTACCAAGATTTTTTAAAAATCGGACAGGAATCCATAAACCAATAAATTGTCATAGTACCGGTAATCACAAAAAGTTAGAAAATAGAACATGTGCTGCTACTGTGGCACTTTATAATGACAAATATTCTGGTAAAAATAAACAGGTACCTAATAAACTGCATTTTAGTTTATAGTAAATCAATTATGACAATAATTCTCTGTTCAGTAAGGTTATATGTACCATAGTAGAACTATGGATGCCTTGCCCTATGTGTAAGGCATGCAAGTGTACACATACTTGTCAATAATTCCCTGTCCAGTAAGGTTATATGTACCATAGTAGAACTATGGATGCCTTGCCCTATGTGTAAGGCATGCAAGTGTACACATACTTGTCAATAATTCCCTGCCCAGTAAGGTTATATGTACCATAGTAGAACTATGGATGACTTGCCCTATGTGTAAAGCATGCAAGTGTACACATACTTGTCAATAATTCCCTGTCCAGTAAGGTTATATGTACCATAGTAGAACTATGGATGCCTTGCCCTATGTGCAAAGCATGCAAGTGTACACATACTTGTCAATAATTCCCTGTCCAGTAAGGTTATATGTACCATAGTAGAACTATGGATGCCTTGCCCTATGTGTAAGGCATGCAAGTGTACACATACTTGTCAATAAATCAACAACATGGGATTAAAACACAAGAAGTGATATTTTGATGTACATGAGAGATGGCCATTGGACAGATGGTGTTTTGGATATGTTGACGAAAGGTAGGCTGATTGGATGACCCATAGCCAATAAACCAACTGAATGACAAGGAATATAATGCAGTTATGGATGATGAAAAGAGAAAGAGCAATATTAGCATACAGGGAGTGATACATGCCCAAATAAGGTGTGTGGAAGGGAGGATTGAGGTTTACCGTGAATTGAAATTTGAAATCTAGCTAAACGTGTACAAATACAATAGAACTCATTTTTTAATTCAGTTATCCGTGAATTTGAAAACCCTGTGAGTAGATGTTCACAATAACTAAATAGTGAAATTAAGTCTCGATAATAATGCCTTCATTATAATGAACTCTTCAGAATAAGAAACGTTTTATGTAGTAATTTTAAAACAGATAATTAGCATAACTACAGTTTTTTCTTGAAAATTCAAGCATAACTACAGTTTTTTCTTGAAAATTCAAGCATGGTGGCACCACTGAGAACGGTTCACATTATACGTGGATGAGAGAGATGGGGAAGGATACACCCCTCTATCGAGGGCAAACAAAAGCTGGTATCATAGCAGACCCAAACTGTGAAAACGGACAGAGCTTTAGAGGAATATCTTCACTATTAATATGCAAATGATTAAAATAGTGCAGACAAGGCAGAAAGCGAAAGCAAAAATTGCTTCTTTGAAACACCGCAGCAAGATGTAGCACAGCATAGTTCATGTGAGAAATTATAAACCATTTTAAAGTTCACAAGAAACGAAAATTGAAAACTGATTCAATTTCATAGGAAACGAAAATTGTAAACTGTTTCAATTTTACAAGAAACCATTAACTGTAAACCACTTCAATTTTACAAGCGATGAAGAATTGTAAACCATTTCAATTTCATAAGACGAAAAATTGCAAACCACACTACTATAAAAGTAATTTCCTCAAGTCAGTCACGGCAACTTTGAAATTATTTAATTTTGAATGTTTCAGTCAGCAAAAAGTTTAACAGTTTACAGTTAGCATTACCGATGAACCAGCAGATGGGTTCTAAAATTCTCTAATATGATCCCGAAAGATATCAGTCAGCCGATGACAGGATCATCTTTTAAAGATTATAATATTATAAATTGTTTTCATTCATCCTTCTCACCTTTATATCTGCAGCAGTCTGCATATGTTGTGAAAAACCAAATTATGAAAAGAAAAAAAGACAAATACCGAATCATATGGGGCCAAATGGTAGAGGCAAAGCCCAGATACATTTGATATCCAGATAACTTTTTGCATTGGTTTGTATTCAGAGTAAAGCATTTCAACATTTCTAGAAAATGTTTTCAGTGACATGCCTGAAAAAAGTTTTATCAAGCTCTAATGTTAAAACAACTTTTCAACAGCAAAAAATAAAACATTTTAATTTTCAATCACAGTCAACGGTAATTTCTCTCCCACAATGCACCAACATGTAGATGCAAAACGAGAATTCGGCTCCTTAATAAATAAAAAAGAAGGGAATGTATGAGAAGACTTTCTCCAAATTATATTACAGTGTTTTCTCTATTAGAAGCGCATCTGCAAGAGAAAAGCACATACAAAAACATTTGCATTCGTTGTATATTATTATACGACTTATTTTGACAATTGAAACTCTTCTGTCATTTACGCAAGTGCACATTCTACTAACAGAGCAATTACAGTATCACAAATTGTATAAATAGATAGCCAAGTATGGCCTATGTTGGCCAGCATACCAGACTTTTGTTCCACTGGGTACCTACTCTCCACAATAGACTGCACAGACTGTGATTGGCTGATAAATACATCACGCTTGTAATTTGAATATGCTAATTTTCTGAACAAAAGATAAATTTGAATATAATATAACACTTGTACATTCTCTCTTCACACACTTATGCTTGTGGTTTGCAGAATGTCCAGACTACAATGTACATAGAAAGTGGGTAACCAGCAGAATAATGGTCGGGTACCCAGGCTAGGCATGCATGTTGGATGCAGTTAGCTTGGCAGTGATAAAAATGCAACAATCACGGGCTTTGAAACCGTTCTTGCGATGATTTCTCAATATGACTGCATCTAACAAAAAACATTACAAGAGTTCATATATTTGCATTGAGTACAGGGCACAACTTGGTATCTCTACTGATATCTCCATTGGCAATAGAATGTGGTGTGAAAATTTACACATTTTTACACTCTTTTCTAATATTTCTCAGGTTAATTTTTAACCAAACAGACATATTTTTAAATTGCTCAAAGGTGTCAAGAAAAAAAAATATGGAGAAAGTTATGCAGGTTCATATTGTGAAAGGTCAAAAAAAGGTCGACTTAGGTCAAAAGGTCATTGGTCCAAGACAACAAATCTGGCACGAAACATACTGTATATCTCCACGACGCAATCATAATTAGATCCTACTTTTTTTTTGAATATTGAAAAAAAAAATATTTTAATATTAGGCATTACACATCACTCACTACAAGTTACTGTGAACAAAACTAACTTGACTGCAATGATCATATGAAACAAACTGGGAATATTCACATGTAATATTTAACCAAAGCAAAAACTAATATCTCAACTCAGGCCATTTACTAAATTTTCCCAAGATTCGAAAATGCCATATATATATATATATACCATATTCATTCTATTAGAAGCACATGTAAGCCAAAAGTTGCATTTATTGTATACTGCATTTAAATTGACCATAGACATACCAGCAACACTTATTTACATAAGCATGTCCAACAACTACATGTCTCCGCTGCAGCTAATATTCCTGTTATACGGATACCGGGGTACTTTCTTCAAACTATTGTGTGTCCTTTTAAAGAGATGCGCTATGAGCTCAAATTAGAAAACAAGATTCACTGCTCCCTTCGACTATACTTCGTTCCTCACAACTAATAATTGGTGATCGAGTATAATCACCAAATTAATTTACAGTTTTTAGCATTGTTGCTGTTGCTTACTGACCTTGTCTAAGTTGTTGTAGAAATCCACATTGCCAGCGCATAAGTATCTTCCCAGTAAGGTAGCGTGTGTAGTAAATACGGTGGAGACTCCAAGATGACGCGTCCGACAGAGAACCAAACCGCAACCAGCTAACCACTCATGGAAATGAGCTACAATCAGGGGTTTTTCTTCTGCCTTGAACTGAGCACGAAACTGAAAATAGCAAATATGATGAATGAAATATACACGCTGGTATATGTTCACAACTACAACATATGATTACTTGAGTTTGCATTCTCATAGAATAACAAATTTTCAACTTACTTCTCCAAGAAACCATGTGACCAGAAATCCAAATATAATTGCATCGTTAGATTCCCTGTCGTGCCACGGTGTGCCGATGCTAGACAACTCCCAGAATTCAGTCTTCCATCGATCTAACATCCAGGCAGCAGACCCGATGTCAAAGAGTACTACCTTAGGATAACCGTCTATCAGCCACCTACCGAACGTCACCTGTTACACACAGACAATGCACTATTTAATAACTTATTACTTATCAGATACAGTAACATAGTATTTCTTATCCTTGGGGCGGAGCTACATCACAAGACGTTCCACGTTGCTAAGACGCGCACCACTGTACCACGTATTTCTATGGGCTCTGCACACGCTGCTGAGGAACACAGAACGCCGAGCGAAGAGCCGGTGAAAATTCAAGAAAACAACAGGAACTCAACTTTGAAGTAATCCTGAACAATTAAATTTATATGCGTTACACACGCAGGAGTAATCTTGTCTGAACAACCATCCCAAAGTTAGGTTTTCTGAGAGTTTTAGGCCTTTGTTTTCACTGTGATGGTTGCCAGGCGGTGAAAATGCCCCGATGTCCGCCACCGAGAATAAGGAGGAAGTAAATACAGTTTATGTACATATATTAAACCTGTCAATATTTCAATTATCACTACAAGTAAAAACATGTCATTTTCATGCTCTCTTCAAAGCAATACACCCACTACCAGGGTATTAGCCAGCCACCAGTCCATCCACCAAACAGACTGGCAACTTTGACTTTGGTCTGGCAACTTTTTCCCATTTTTCTGTTTTTTCCCATTGTTTTACCAAAATATATCCAAAACCATCTACATTTTCATTAAGTTGAATTGTTTTGGACTGGCAGTTGCAAATTCCTGGCTAATAGCCTGCCCACTATCCATAGTTTAACTGTGGAAATAACACTCAAACAGCTCACATCCTTACTGAAAACATGCAAGATTGTCGTGTTCAATATAACTGAAAATATTCAGGTTTTTAGAAAAAAACAATAGCTATGCTGTCTACCTTAATGCCTCTATCTCTCATGCTCTTTATTGTATGTCTGAGTAGCGGTTGTTCGGGTTCATCCATCACTTCCACTTCAGTTCGAACGCAGGTTTCATTATACGGTCCCAACAAGCAATACTGGTCACCGAGCTCCTCTACTGTCTCTCCTGCCTTTGATCTGATCACGGTGTAAATACCTCCAACTAGATAAAACCAAAATAACAAATAATCAGTTAATAGAATAAATACACAAGTACAACATGTAATTTTTTTATGATTAATATGTTGTTGCAACATTTTGAACATTTATCTGTAAATTCTTATTGCCAACTTTTGAGAAAAAATATACTATTTGTGAAAGTTGACATTTAGGGTCCAAATGGTTCAAACGATGGTAGAAATTGGCAAATTAAATCGAAAATAAAAAAAAAATTTAGAAAGAACTGAAAGTATCAGAGGCGTATGTGATCCACATTGTTGAAGTTTACAATACTCACAGAAAAGAAATTTGATTGTACATCTGTGGTTTGCAGTCTGATTTATTCCAAAGCAGTTGTACTACAAGTTCAATTTAAATGCGATTTTTGGCTACCGGTAATAAAAATTATCGTTTTCAACAATAAACTAATCACATCAGTTTGATTGCCTCAGAACGTCTATGTACCAAATATCATTGAAATGCAAATTAGGCAATTAGTATGCAAGGATTTCAAACTAAAATTATTCAGGTCTGTGCATTGTCCTAGAGCACCTATGTACCAAGTTTCATTGAAAACCAGTGGTTCTTACAGCAAGTCTCAGAATTATTGGGGCAGCCAATTTGCAAACTTGCTAGCGAATTGGCTAACTGCTTGGGTTTTGACTAAACGATTGGCTTTCGCATCTCGCTGGCGCCGACTTGTGATCGCGTCCACTCTGGGCGAGTCTATTGCAGTAGGGGACATAGAATGCTTTTTACGCAGCCTGGTACATGTCTGGATTCCCCTGAGTAATTTGAGCCCCCGGTTTGAGCCTGGAAATAACCAGTCAGCTGGCGTACAAGTGATAATATTATAAATGCGATTATTTCACCGATATTATATGGGGGTAGCCATTTTGAACACTGCTTGAAACTACAAAATGTAAATAATCAAGTTGAGAAACAGTTTCCTACAAATCAGGGAGAAAATAAACTTTCACATACAAAAGATCCGTTTGGGTAAAACTAAGCAGACCGCTAATAAAGTCATTCTTCATTTTTACGTGGGTACAAAAGAAATGGACACTTTCCCTAGTATAATTGAAAGCGAAATCGCCACCCAACTGTAAAACCGTCACCGATTAGCTCCTCAAGTATGACGATCGTCCCCTACTGTTATATAGATTCAATGTAAGTGGGCGTGATCACAAGACGACACCAGCGAGATTCGAAAGCCAACTGTTTAGTCAAAACCCAAGCAGTTAACCATTTCACTAATTTTACAGATAACAGTTTAAGTAAACAAGACAAATTAACAAATTTAACAAATTGCCTGAAATGAAACTGTCCAGGGAAACTATTTTGTGGACCCCAGGATATACTGTGGAATACCTTATTTTCACTGGAATTAATTTTCGCTGAAAAGGCTTTTTGGGCGTTTTGTATGGAATTTATTTTCAGTGATTTTTGATGAGTTTAATGTGAAATATAGGAAAAAAAGTATATTCGCTGGATTTTATTTTCACGGAATCATCCCTCCAGCGAAAATAGCAAAAATATATTCCAAGCGAAAATAAAGTATTCTACAGTTCATTACTTTCATTAACGATTATTCCTTTCAATGCATGTGTATGATTGAGTTGTGGTGTCCCTCATTTCCCTATCTGTAAATGACCCTTGAGCCTATTGACAGGAAATGAAAGTATGAGTGGGTTGTAAGCATTTTCAATCCGATAAATAATGGCTGAATAAATAATGTTCTCATAGATGCTATTCTGAAATGAACACAAATGGTATTGCTTAGTATTGGGGAAAAAGGAAGGGAAACAACCTTAATCAGATTGGCTGTCCAACAATTAAAATTAAAGGCTAACACTGTTCATAAAAATGTGCCCAATAACAATGTCTATTTAAAGCTGCAGAGCAGCTATGTTGGGTCAATTTTGAAGGATGAATATGACATTAATGTTATGTTTCTCAGAAAATGCTTTGGTCAAACACGCTACGTGCAAAATGGTACATTGATCAGTTAAATTCATGAGAAGCAAACGTACAACTTTTTCGGGATATTTTCCCCAAAATTCAAGATAGCAGCCAAACCATGCGACTGAACAAAATTATTTTATTTTTTTTGGTAAGGAGCTTCGGCAGTTGAAGCACTAATGAGAAGCAAATGCCCCAAATAAATACAAGTAATTTACTTTTCTGAGTGATGAAATGTTTGTAAATGATGCTGATTTCTCAGAATAATTATTTACGGTTTAAATTATTTAAGTATTTACGGTGAAAGTGTCATAATTGAAATCCCAAAATGACTGTACATTATCACAGATATGACTCATAACAAGAGATTATTTTTCTGTATTCCAGACATGTAGGTCAATGACCACAGAATAAGGTTAAAAATGCAAAGGAAAATTGACCTTTGCTATGACCTATTCAGTAAGTGGAAGGATAGGTTTAGCAAAATAGTGGCAAAAACCATTTTTTGGAAGTATTTGACCTGAATTTTTTTTTTTAAATATTGTTTTCAGTCATCTATGTTTGGTTTAGTGTCACAGTATCGTTTTTTTTATTTTGATCAACTCCTGTTAGTTAAAATTCAAAAAGAGGCAATTACAATGTCACAGTTTTATTTTCTGGATTTCAAGAAAAATAGCTTCAACAGCGTGTTTGAATTTTGTAAGATGATGCTACAGTATTTTCTAAATTATCTCACAAAAATAGTCCTCACAGTGACACTGAAAATTGAGAACATTTTAGAAATGACGCGAATATTAATTTCAAAAATCAAAATACTCATTTATGCTTCATGACCTTTTTATAGCAAAAATAACCGTGGATATGCTATTAGCATTTTTGTTTATCTCACTAATTTATCACATCTTATATTTTACGTCATGTAACCCTAAAATAAACACTGAAAATTTCAGGTCAAATGCTTGCTAAGAATACTTTATTTTCCTTTGGAATTTATTTTCGCTGAAGGGATGATTCCGTGAAAATAAAATTCAGCAAATATACTTTTTTTTCCTATATTTCACATTAAAGTCATCAAAAATCAGTGAAAATAAATTCCATACAAGACATTCAAAAAGTCCTTTCAGCGAAAATTAATTCCAACTAAAATAAAGTATTCTAGAGTATCCTGCTACTTTACCATTTGGTCACTGTGCATATTTGTCAAAATCACATCATGGCAAATAATACATGATAAGAAAAACTGAATGCAAGCACTATTGCATTCCTTAGATGAAGCACATGATAATGTTACTACAGTGGCATGGCAGAAACGCACAGACAAGAATTGTTTACTATTAAAAGACAATCATTTCTGATTTAAAAAAATATATAAATGTAGATTCAATTTCAAACAAGTTGTCATTTACTTTAAAGTCAACTGCCATTTAAAGTTTTGAAACGTTATTTAAATATTTATAAATTATCTGTAAACCACATCTAAGGGTAATTTGAAATTGTACCATATAAAGAATAATATCAAAATAGAAATATTCTTTGTTTTCAATATTTTTAAAGAGGTAATGACAGTGTTTTTAATCAATGTTTAAATTACTTGGTTATGAAAAGACATCTTGAAAAAAAAGTTTACACTATATTAAAAAATAGGTCATGACCTGACACAGTACCACCCATTTTCAGAGTGCAGGTAAAGTTCATACAATGTGTACTCCCATGATCAGTCATTTTTTAAACAAAATGGCCACTACTGCGCAAGACGAAGATTAGAATGGTGTAAATGATTTTTGAGAATAATCCGACATCATAGCGAAGGACTCAAACTTCAGATTTGGGTGGAACCCATTTTCCAGACAAAACTTCATAAAATGGCTTTAGCTTATACATCTACATAATAATAATACATGTAGTATCGGAAAGAATCTGTTTTAATTGGGGGGGGGGTCAGTTGTCTTTGTGAAGTTGAAGCCCTGTCAGCACCACTGTTTTGTCAAAAACAATAAAGCAATGTTGCAGTATCGCATACTACCCTATATTGCATAATTCACAGCATATATGGACAAGCCACAGTCCCTGATACAAGCATGTAGCCATTATGGATACACCAAGCAGAGAGGAATGACACTATTTATTTGTTTTTTCTAGTTAGTGGCAATATTGAAATATGTAAATTGGTATAATTTAAAAAAAAATAGGCTTATTAGTTAATGAGCAAGCTACGGCAGACGACATTCATTTTTGATGTCGCTTACCGGTATGTTTTTTCAACCCAGTGTTCTTCATTATGCTCTATGTTCGTATAATTATAGATTTCAGTGGACGAGAGGATTTATCTCTACTATGCCTAGTTCTAAACACGAAAAAAAAGGGGTATACTCTTATATTATCATGGAGGTATAAAGAGATCCCCCATGATATCATCAAGGATTTATAAGATAAGGATATGGAAACCATGTACGATGATATGCAACACAAAAATCTCATGAGAAGCAAACTTTGGTGATTTGGAAATGTTTGAAAGCAATCCCATTCCATGCGTGTCAACTGAACATACCGGGGTAGTTCTAACAATAAGTGTCACAAAACACAGTGGGTGCTTAGAAATGTTCGATATCATAAAAGAAATGAACGAGTTTATTGTCGCATGCAAAATGCACATGTTGCATGCTTTGCAAATCGCAAAGGACATCATGCAAAATGACTCAAGATTAACACTAACTGGGTCAGGGTCCATAGCACCAAGAGCCAAATGATTTCCAAAACTTTTCCAGATCTTTTCCCAAAGTTTCTTGCATTTTTCCCCCAAGACATTTTGACTCTTAATTCTTCAGTGTAAAAAAACATTTTATAAAAACAGACTCTATGCAGAGAGAATGGGCTTTCTATAATTAATAATAACTATGAAAAGACTTTTCAAAGATTTGTTTATTTTTCCTGTAATTTAAAGACAACTCAAAGACTTTCCAGACCTCAAAAAATCCAAAGACTTTCAAAGGACCTTGTGGGTGCTCTCAATTTTTTGATTGTTATTAAATGTAATAATTTAGAACAGAAAACAAAAATGGAAAACATTTCCCTCAAACATCATAATGTAATTTTTACTAATTCATCTGGAAATTTTTAATAAATTTTGAAAAAAAATCTCAATTTACCAATGACCGAGCATAGACAAATTATTTTTTTCACCGATTCACTACTTTTAATTAGGATTTTTAGAAATGTAAGTCTTCTGATTTTGTGACCATATTGCATTTTGCGAGACTTTTGATTTGAGCATGATTTTGATTGCAGATCACACAACTATATACCCTAATCATATAAACCCTTGATATAACAGTAGTAAAATTTGCTCTCCTCCAATCAGAACGATATATTCAAGATGATATTAACAATATAACCAATGCACATGTCGTATTGGGGCACTATAACACCGACATCACATATTTTACCCATCTTTCTATTTGAACCTACAATCAACACAATCCTGGTTGGCTTTTTCACAATATTCTAAAAGTTTGTTGACTGGAAACAACTGTCATAGCGAGTATTAATCACGCCATGTGCAGTTAGGCAGAAAAAAAAACAATATTTGGAATGGTAGCCAGGCACAAAACTAAAAATAAAACTAATTACTCTTTGTCCTTGATCACATTCCAAGATTAGCACTAGTAGTACTAGACAGACACAACCTAAACATTTTAATACTACAGTTTATCACCATGTGTACCATTTTTTGCTATGGAGGTATAAATTCATGTACCTCCATGTATTTTGCCTTTCAGACCATAATATAAGTTAACCCATGTGAACATGTGAGCAGTGCGTGAAGCCACACGCTGTGAACTTTCTCAGTTTGTGCTTACAAATTACATTTCACCTTGCAAAATAAATAAACTGAAAACTGACATTGGCATCAATCAAAATAAATTACATAATGCCGTCCTGATCAGGACGATTTCAACATGTTATACATATTTTTTTTTTTTTTTTAGTTAAAATTACATAGATATGAAGAGTACTCTTAGACGTATTAATCGTACGATGTCTTCACACTACTAAAGAACTCGGACGTCAGGAGAAGAACAGCCAGTGACAGCGAGTGTTTGTAAAATTAACTTCTACCACCAGTGCTACAAGTCGATATCACGACAATCCTGCGTGGTAACCACATGGGCATAAATCGTGTTAAATTTTGTAATAGCAACAATACAATATAGCTCCGCCCATCCATCGGCGTCCGTGTTTCCCCCACCTACGTGCACATCTCAGAGATCGTGTACGCATAATTTTCACCTTGAAACAGCTGATTACTCGTACCTTTGTTGGCGACCTCCCAGGCACATTCGAAAACCCATCTGTTTTCTGCAGCTGCGGCTCTTCCACGGTCCTTTGTATCTGGATCGTAATCACCCACCGTATAGGCGCTGGAGAACGACTGTCTCCGTACAATAGACGACATATTCGGCGAAGTTGGGGGATAACCAGCAAACTAGAAACAGGCCAATGGCCGCTGTGGCGTCATAGGCTCTTTAGGTTAGCATTCACGGGCAATGACCTTTATGAAAACCCTCTAGCTTACTGTTAATAAGCAAGTACCACAGCTTTGTTTTACTTTGAATGCAGACAATTTTATTAGTTGTCTTAAATTTGTTTAACCTGGTTTAACCATAATTGTTTAGTACGTAGTATATAAATAAACAAATACAATATACTGTAAAACCGTTTTTTTTTTTTTTTTCACTGACATTTAAATTTCCCTATTTTGATGTTTTAAGCAATTCCACTGGGCTTTACAGGAAAACTTACATGTGAATTTCATATTGCCTATTTTTCTTATCTGCATAGTCAGCAAAATTAGAGAAATTAAAAAACAGTAAATAATTAATATGATAAATTAATAAACTAAGGATATGCATATTCTTGACATTGGTCTGATTGACTATCTGTTCTTCTAGTTGTGTTTCTCTACGTAATACTTTGTATATCCTTAGTTTTAATATGAAATGACACTTAATTGTAACGTAAAACGAATCTAGTTCAAATTAAGT